CCAAGGGACCAGCAGTTGGTATAACGGCTATGTTGCTGGACTCCCATAGAGTCGACCGCAGTTCGAGTCCTGGACCCGGTGTCTTAAACTCACACCGGGCACATGTGCATGTGTGCCCAAGATCCTAAGGGGAGAATAGATGAGAAGAGATTGCGGCATGGCCATTCCCCCTAGGGGATGACTTCTTGCTTTCTGTCTCTCTGTCTCTCTCTGTCTTTCTGGAGAGTGCACACACACCCTATAGCAAAAACCTCTCAAAAAAAAAAAAAAAAAAAGTGCAATTGCCAATATCTGACTGTTTTTTAATCCACCAAAATGGCAATTTCACAGAGTTCAATCTTGTCAGACTCCACCTCTAAACCCACTAATGAGAAAGCAATGAAGTGAAAGTATGATCTTGAAAACTGAAAGCCTGATGATTATAAGAGTTAAAATGTTTGTGAAATGGTTAAGAGATAGCACAATGAAAGCAAAAAGTCACAGAAGGCAAAGTAACCAGAGGGAATTATCCATTTAATTATCCTGAATGAGAATGACCCAAATTTCTATTATTTTCTATGACCTATAATGATGGAAAGCCTTTCCTCCAAACTTTATTAATGCTCCAAAATTTTTTTTTCAAATTACATCAAGTAATGTAATTTTCCACGTTTTAAGAACTCCACCATAAATTCAATATTAAAAGCAATAAGAACTAGCAGATGGCATAATGGTTACATCACCGGACTCTCACATGGCCAACCACAGTTCGAGTCCCAGCCGTGGCGACTTGAAACATGCTGGGTGTGTGTGTGTGTATGCATGCCCAAAATCCTAAGAAGAGAATAGAGAAGGAATTGTGGCATGGACATCCCCCCGGGGGGTGATTTCTTGCTTTCTGTCTCTCTAGCGAGTATATGAGCAAAAATCTCTCTTTTAAAGAAAAAGCATTAATAGTGCTTTACATGTGTATGGTACTTTATAATGTACAAAGTAATTTCACATGCATTGTTCTAGTTGAGCCTCATCATAACCATATAAAATACCCTGGGAGATATTATCCCTGTTCAGGTTACACTGCACACATAGCCAAAAGAACTTACAGAGACTATTCAAAATGAATCTTAACCTTAAGCTAGACTCTTATGTTGTGTCAAAGTGATAATATTAAAGGAGGCAAAAATACCAATGTGCTTCAAAACCCAGGAAAGCTCAGACTGACTCTCAATCCATCGCTTACTCTCTATGGGTCCCTGAGGCAGTTTCTTAATATCAATAAGGTTCAGCTTAATAAAGTGAAATAACATCTTCAGATCAAGTAAGACATAAGAGTTTAATCTTCAGATTAAACTTACCGTCATCTATAACAGATGCATTTATCACTATCAAGTAAAGACACTTGACTCCTTTTTTTTTTTAAGAGAATTTTTTTTTTTGCTACAGGGTACATGTATTTATTTGCAAGAGACAAAGAGACAGTGGGAAATCACCCCCTGAGGGGAGAAGGCCATGCCACAATCCCTTCTCCTCCATTCTCCCATCAGGATTTTGGGAAGAAACCTAGCTCTTATCTAAAAGAACTCAGGAAAGGTTCAACAGATACAGCGCAGAACAGAAATGAAATGCCTTGCCCCACAATGACTATACTTGAGTTACCTGACCTCTCTATGTTATAATTCTATCATCATAAAGGTCTTTGACAAAGTTAGCAGAACATAATCAACATCACAGAGTTTAGACACTTACTATTCTCCAATATCTAAAAACTTCAAAATTTTCCATGAGCAGAGCTCTCTCTGTTCAAGAATTCACCAAAATAGATTGTTCTATACTACACAGGAAATTGGATCCCACACAGCCAACTGCGGTTTTAGTCCTGGTCTTATAGGCTTGTAAAACATGCCAGGCACGTGTGTACGTGTGCCCCAAATCTAAAATGGGATAGAGAAATGGAGGAGAAGGAACTGTGGTGTGACTACACCCCATTGGGTGGGGGGGTACTTTCTCTCTCTTTCTCTAGTTAGCATACACACCCTCTGGCAATGAAAAAAAAAAAAAAAAAAGAGCTACTACCAGCCCTTTATAACATGTAGAGCTGATGCTAACTCATGAACTCAGAAACAAAGCCTTCTTTCCTTTCTGACAGGTGATAAGGACTCAATAATAAGGTCTTGGGGCCAGCCAGGTGGCATGTTGGGTTAAGGTGGCTGGATTCCACACAGCCAACTACATGGTTCGAGTCTCAGACCCAGCAGCTCAGAAAAAACATGCCAGGTGCATGTATATACATGTGTGCCCAAAATCCCCAGAGGAGAATGAAGAAGAGACTGTGGAGTGGCCATCCCTCTGAAGGGTACTTTCTCACTTTATTTCCCCTCTCTCAGTCTCTCACTGGTGAACCCACACGCCCTATAATAGGATCTTGAATTAGGTCATAGAAGCTAAAACATAGAGTCAAACAATGCTGAAGCAAGAATACTGGATAAAATAGTAAATGAGTAAAAGAGAACTATTTTCTGTGTTTAGAGGAAAGGTTTGCTAATATTACTTACTCTTGGCTTACCACCTCCTCATCCTCTGAGGATGATGCTGTTTCTTCCAGGTCCCGGGCCATCACGACTGGCATTTCCTTTAGGGTTTGTCATGCAGTCAGCAAACGGGGGCCTCAGAGACCTTTCCTTGCAGATTCACTGGATAAAACAATCTGGGTGGCACAGAGTCCTGCAAGAAAGTCAAATAATCTGAAACACAACACAGTTGTCTATTTACCAATTACTGCTGATCTTCCAAATAATGAAAATAATTATACACCCAAATAGTGCCTAATTAAGGCCAACAAGTGGTGTGGCAGTTAAAGTACTGGACTCCCACATAGCATACTGTAGTTCGAGTCCTGGACCTGGCGACTTGAAAATCATGCCACAAATCATGCCACGTGGCTTGAAAATCATGCAGGGCACATGTTCACTTATGCCCAAAATCCCAGGAGGAAAACAGAAAAAAAGGGATTGCAGTGTGGCCATTACCCTGGGAGGTGATTTTTGAATTTCCCTCTCTCTGTCTCTCTCCAGTGAGCACACATGCACTTTGGCAAAAACCTAAAAAGTAAAAAAAAAAAAAAAAAGTGCCCAACCTCTAGAAACTGACCTTCTATCACAGTACCTCACAAATGCCACAAAAAGCAAGATTTTTTCAAACATATTGCCTGTGCTCTAAGTATCTGAACAACTATTCTTAAGTTTCTCATTTATTTAAAAAATACTAAATCTAATGTGCACCAAAAGGATACTCATTTCTCTTTTAGGGTAGCCTAAGGCAGGTAGCTGATTCTTTTTTTAATTTTTTTTTTTGAGAGAGATTTTAGCTATAGGGCGCGTGCGCTCGCCAGCCAGACAGAGACATAGAGACAGAAAGCGAGAAATCACCCCCCAGGGGGGATGGTCATGCCTCAATCCCTTCTCCTTCATTCTCCTCCCGGGATCTTGGGCACACACGCACACGCGCCTGGCGTGAGTTTTAAGCCACCGGGTCCGGGACGCGAACCGCGGTCGACTACGTGGGAGTCCAGCGACATAGCCATTACGCTAACTGCTGGTTCCCGCAGGTAGCTGATTCTTTAAAACAAATTTTACTTGTTGAACAAACCTAACCTGAGTTAAAATAAAAACTCCAGGTTTAAGACTCTTGCAAATATTTATTTAGACTCTATGACAAGCAGGCAGAGAAAATGCCATTATGTTTCCAGTAAAAACAAATGCAACAACTGAACCAAAAGATTAAAATATTCTCCTAAATCAAGGGTTTATAAATAGCGAGGAAAACAACCCCACTGCCCTTCCTCTTGAAAATCATTCTCTCTTTCTAAAAATAATAAATTTTTATCTGAATGGCAAATGAGACATTCAAATTAGAAAATGTCCAACACTGTACTCCTAACTTGAAATATTTTTTCCATAGGAAAAAAGTACATATTCGTTGTGTGTGTTAGAGGAGGTAACAATATATAGAAACCACAGAACATTTTGAAAATGTTCGAAATCCCATTACTCAAGAGATGATCACTTGATATCAATGTTAACAAACCTTATTTTTCTATGCATTCAGACATTCGGTAACATTGCCCCCCGGTAATGGTCCCTACAAATCCTAACAGAATGGGCAATAACTCACAAACTCAGTGGCTTTTCTCGGAGGATTTCAGTGGTGTTTCTCGATTTTTCCCCTAATGTTGCCAAGTCCTTTAAGTTAAAACCTCCAAGCTAGGTAGGAGCTGCCTGCAGAGCGGGAAGAGACAGGGCGATCAGATTAAGGACACTCGCCTAAAGAGAACCTTCCGGCCTAAAGAGATCAACGCCTACCCCCAGCTCACCCCAATCCCAGGAAGGTCTGCAGATGCTCCCGGCGAGCAGGACCGGACGACTCCGCCGCAGCGATTCAGCCCGGCGCGCCCGGAAGCCAGGAGCTACTCCCGGGCTCGGAGAGGGAAGTGCAGCGGACGGCGCCCGCTCAGACCTGGGAGCTCACCTCCCTCGGGAAGGGAAGCGCGCCAGCGCAGGCGTTTACCTGTCTCATCTTCCCATGGCTCGAGGCGGGCAGGCGGGGACCCCGCTCTGCTCCTACCTCCCTCCTCCTTCCCCAGCCGGGCTCACCGCCGCCGCCGACGGCTGCTTCCCCCGTTACTACAACAACCAACAAGCAACCGCCCGCTCGGAGCCACTGCGCAGGCGCCCGCCACCCAGCGCCGACAACGCCCGGCGGCGGACGCGTACGAATGTCGTCACGGCAGCGCAGCGCGGGCACAGAGTTCTGCACTCAGCTGGAGCGAGCCTTGACTTCTTTACTCCACTTTTTTTCTCCGCCCCTAGAAAGCTGACTACAAACTCAGAATTCAGCCAAGCTCAACGGGAGGGTTTACTGCAAGCGCAGCGTACGCTGGCACAGGCTTGGGCAGCGCAACCGCTGATTGGCAGTGAAGGGGTCCCCTCCCCATCGCCTGCTCGAGCAAAACTGGCCCAGCCAATCAGAGCGAGGGCTGACAGAAACGACCCAATCCTAGAGCCGGGTTGAGGGCGGGGGCGGCAACAAATGGCTCAGGTGGACTCCGTGCTGGAGCTGTCCTGGGGGATCTTCGCGGCAGCTGCTGCTGTTTTGGGGATCCGGTTGCCAGGTAAGGATAATGTAGGGAAGAAGGATGTAGGTATCTGTCATTTGATTAAGAGGATTCAGAGAGTCTGGAAAAATGGAGGTAGGTGGAAGGGAGATACCTGGGAGGCAGCATTTAGGCGAGAAAGGGGTTCAAAAGCCGATGACAAGGGGGAGCAAGGAAGATGGAGAAGGTTTGGTAAATTCGAGGAATAGAGAAATGGATGAACAAATGAGCAGCCACTATGAGCCTAGCACTGTGCAAGGGGCCTTCGCTTTCTCTCATGCACTTCTTGCAACCCTTGAGGTTGTATCACCATTTTGCAGATGTGGAAAGTGAGGCTGGAAAGCATAAATGACTAGCCTAAAGAAACACAGCTTCTAAGTGGTGGGGCCGGATAGGAATCCGTCTTTACTGACACCACACCTCTGTTGGGCTGAGCCAAGGCAAAATTGGGGAGTATATGTGTACTCTAGGAAGTCCTCAAGTCCTAGAGATACGGGCTGAGGAATTTGCAATTCAGAAGTGCTCCAGCTCTGTGCTAAGCTATCTGCTGGAATTTCTGAGAGATTCTGTGAAATGGAAGACTTTCAGTTCTAAAAGGGGGAGGGGGGGGGACATCCATGCTTGAGAGTCTCTGTCATCAGTACGCAGGCAGGTATCTGTGATCAGAGTGGTAGACATCAAGAACCACCAGTATGACAAAGGAACAGCATGAAAAAGTAAAAGTAGAAACATAAAAATATAGGAGAATTGATTCCAGCCAAGAAAGTCCTGATTTATGGTAGTATTTTTGGAGGAATTGCTTCAACAGAGAAGTACTGTGTCACTTATTACAGTGTATACTGTTCACTTACTACTATTAATACGACTTAAGTATTGAGACCAATTTCTACATGCCTTACACAGAAATCCATGGTATTATTTTATGTAATAACTGTACATCTTTTCTTCTGTTCCCTTTCTCCTTTCCATTTTTTTCTCACTGTCCTTGTCATTTCCATCCACTGTATTATTTAACCTATTTACTCTAGGTAAAGGTTAGCACACTGGTTTAGGCAGCATGCCAGATCTGTGACATGAAAGTGGTGTGTTAAGAAACCTGGGGGTTGGGATCAGCAGTTAGCGTAATGGCTATGTCACTGGACTCCCATGTAGTTGACCGCGGTTCAAGTCCCGGACCCGGTGGCTTAAAACTCATGCCAGGCATGTGTGCGTGCATGCCCAAGATCCCGAGAGGAGAAGGGAAGAGAAGGGATTGCAGCATGGCCATCCCCCCTGGGGGGAAATTCCTCACTTTCTGTCTCTCTGTCTCTCTGTCTGTCTGGTGAGCGCACGCGCCTTATGGCAAAAACCTCTCCAAAAAAAAAAAAAGAAAAAAGAAAGAAAGCTGGAGGTGTGAGGCTAGCAGGTGGCATGTTAGTTAAGACACTAGATTCCCACGTGGCTGACTGTGGTTTGAGTCCCAGTCTGGCAGCTTGCTTTCTCACTTTCTCTCTCTCTTTCTCTGTCTTTCTCGGGTGAACTCGCATGCCCTATAGCAAATTAAAATAATAATAATAAATTAATTCTCAAGGAAAAAAAGGAAGAAAGCTAGGGGTGGATGAGCCAAGAGGACTTGGAGAGGGATTTATGGAGTGATTAGCCAACTAAGTGTAATATAGCTCTGATGAGTAGGACGCAGGTCAACCTACAGAGAGAGAGCTTATGGTTGAAGGAGACTGATCCTCATTGTGTCATGACCTCCGCCTTTGTTTCCAAAGCAAAACAGCTTTGCAGGTTAGAGGGACACCATGAGCCGTTTCCTGAATGTGTTACGAAGCTGGCTAGTTATGGTGTCCATCATAGCCATGGGGAACACACTGCAGAGCTTCAGAGACCACACCTTCCTCTATGAAAAGCTCTACACTGGCAAGCCAAACCTCGGTAAGAAAGCAAAGAACTGCATCCTTTGTGGGAATGGCCTAAGCTGTGGTTCCCAAACTAGGTGGTAAATCAGAATAACCTAGGAAACATGAACACGAGGCATAGTTACCCATTTCCCTCTCCAAATCTATTTATTGAACCTGGGTGGGACCCAGCAATCCAGTTCTAAAAACTTCCCAGGTGGTTCTGATGCTGCCTCATCGAGCCTGTATGGACACTAGAATTAGCAGACTTATAGACTTCGTAGAAGACACTTGGCCCTTTTTGCCCCACGCTTCTCTGAATACCTTTTCATTCACTTTAAGCTACACTGGGCAATTAGCGTGTACAAAAAACACATCAAGGGTAAGCAAGGAAACAGTTATTTGATGACTCTAATGCCCCATTAGAGAGCCTTTAAAAAGCTTTTCCTATTATCTCAGAGCCCTTCAGAAATCAGGTTGTTGCACAGAGAGTCTATATTCCTGTTACAGATGGGGAATTACTGACCCAAAGGACATCTTTTCTAAACCGAGACTCAGTCCCTGAGAAGATATCCAGAACTCTTCCAAGTCAGTCTCTGAAACTGAGCTTCAGAACATTCATAGTGGCTTTCCCTGATTTCCTGCGACGATCTGCTGAGAATGTTGGCACGTTCTGCTTGCACTGCATTGCACTGATGTGTGGGATAGTTTCAGCAGCAGCAGCTGACAATCCTGTCACATTTATAGCTAACCCAGATTCAGGCTCTGACCTAACTCATTTGTCTGCAACATCTGAGTACAAGATGAAATTAACTAGGCTGAGGCTCCTTTGGAGGAACGTTCAAATACAACAAGACTAAAGAACCTGGAAAGTAAGCAGGACTTACCTTCACTCTCCAATGCTGCCTTCACGTGGTCTTCAACCCCTGTACAGATTCACAGATTTGTAGAGGTTTCTCGATCTAGCCGTTTAACATTGAAGCAGAGAAGCCCGTTGCTGATGCAGCTTACTGAGGGGCATAGAGAGCTGAGCGGAGCCCCATGTGTCTGTTGGCCAGCCCAAAGGTGGGGACTGCCTTCTCCCTTGTGATCTGGGGACTGTCACCATACTCTACTGATAGTAGCAGTGTTCCAGAGTGCTACTATCACTAACATTTCACATACTGCCTCCTCTGGTTAGGGCTGATGAAGTGCTCCACTTTAGTGTCTCACTAACTGGAGAAATGTCATTAGTCTTTTCATTAGAAAAGCTGTCACTGAGGATATAAAGAGTATCCCTCCGTGGCTAATGCTAGATGTTTGGTTGGCATATGGAATTTTTTCTCACTGTCCTCTGAAGGTCTTCAGTGTGGTGAATTTGGTAGAGCTGTCTGTAAGGTCTTCTTAGATCATCGTCAGTCTTGTCCCTTGAAATTTCTTCTGCTCAGCAAGAGAGAGACTAGCCAAGGAAGTCTCTTTGCTGTCATTGTTTTGGCATTCTCCAGCCTCTGGATGTCTTAGATCAATGGCTGCACATTTGAATCACAGGGAGTTTCTGGAGAATAATTATGCCCAGGATTCACCTTCGGAGTATGTGATGCATTGGTCTGATACCCATCCCTCAGCTGATGCTAATAGACGCCCAGTGTCAAGAATCTCTGTAATGGTGGAATACAAGCCATACTTTCAGGATAAGATACTTAATACAGCAACGTCAGAATGCAGCCACCAAAAGCAGGGAAGCCCCAGCAAATACCAAAGAAACAGTGCTTTGTTCCACAACATGGTGCACAAGAATCCAGCCTGTTTGGGGCTTGTTGAAACCATGCAGATTTGGATTCAGGAAGAGACCCAGGGACTTAGATCTCTTAAAGGTCATGGGTGGACATCTAGATGCATCCTACTGTCTCTGACTTTTCTCCTGACTCAGCCCTGAGAGTCTGCAGGCCTCCCAGATATCTCGTATTAGCAGACCAATCTCTGCAGCATTCCCCCAAACCTGCTTTGATCTGGGTTTCCAGGGTTAGAGGGTATAAGCCACAGGTAGAGTGGGATGGAGAGAGAGAGAGAGAACTACTAATACCTAGGAGTTATGTTCCTAAGCAGGCTCTTTGTTGGGTTTCTACTTTTGGAACTCCCCTTCGAACTGTAGATGTTTGAAGGGGATCCGAGCAGTTCTCACTGTAGAGTTCCTTTGAATTCCCATGTGCGGCACCAGGGCCTCCACTCTGCCCACCCACAGGAAGTCAAGCTCAGCTCTTTGTCTCCCGAAAACTCCCACTGAAATAGGAGGAACTTGGAAGGAACCTCAACTATCTCCTCCTCAACACGTGTCCTTTTTTTCTGCTCCACAGTGAATGGCCTCCAAGCCCGGACCTTTGGGATCTGGACACTACTCTCCTCCGTGATTCGCTGCCTCTGTGCCATTGACATCCACAATAAGACGTATGTAAGGGAAGGAAGAACTTTAGCATCCTTGTGTTGGAAATCACATGCTAGGCATTCCCACTATCCCAACCCTCGTCTCCCTTTAAGGTCCCAATGGGACATTAGCCTAGAACATGTATAATAAAAGCATAATGGGTTCCATTTCTTCCAGGCCTAAAAAATATGATAGGCCTAACAGGTCTTCTTTAAAGGCTGAAAATTCTTTGGAAGTGACATAGCATACTGGCAGTGTCATTACCCATTGGCCTGCATCAAAACCCTCTATTTTCTTTACTAAAGATTCCATTTTTTTTTTTTACTAGAGTAGTATGCTCCTTTTAAAGTTGCTGCCTGGCAACCAGCAGGCGGCGTGGTGGTTGAGGCACTGGACTCCCACATGGCTGACCATGATTCGAGTTCTGGACCTGGTGACTTGCTTTCTCACTTTCCCACTCTTTCTCTGTCTCTCTGTCTGGTCAAATTTTTAAAAAATAAATTAATTAATTTAATTAAATAATCGAATTATTCTTAAAAGAAAAAAAAAGTCGCTGCCCAGGGCCAACATGTTGCTGGAGTGTGTATGTGCATACCCAAAATTCCAACAGGATAGAGAAATGGAGAAGAGACTGCAGCATGACCACACCCCACAGGGGTTGCTTTCTCCTTCTCCCTCTCTGTCTAGTGAGTGCATTTGCCCTCTGGAAAGAAAGAAAAAAAGGGATCTGAAACAGTAGTTAAGGCATTGGATTCCCACATGGCCAACCACTATTCGAGTCCAAAACCTGGTGATTTAAAATTCATACCAAGTATGTGTGCATGTGTGTCCAAAATCCCGAGAGAAGAATGGAGGTGAAGGGATTGTGGCGTGGCTATCCCCCCCTGGGGGGGGGTGATTTCTCACTTTCTCTCTTTCCATCTCTCTCTGTCTCTCCAGTGAGCACATATGCCCTATAACAAAAATAAATTAATTAATTTCTCCAAAATGATAAAGTACCCACTCACTCATACCTTTCTTACGCTCCTCATTAAGAAACCTAAATGAACAGAAATCATGATCCATGGAAAAAGAGGAGCCCACCATGTGTGCTGTTGTATGTTTATGCAGTCAGTGGATGAGAGTAACGGAGAACCCAGGGCTCAGACTTGTGTGGCATAATTGGCGCCGTCAGAGCTTGTCTAGGTAGTGCCATACCAGTTGTGGCCACTGGAGGGGGCTCAAGCTTCTCAGCAGCAGTCGTCAAAATCTGGGTGAAAAGTTGGACTTAGGCCACTTGCTGGGTAAGGCTATCAAAACACCAACTTCGCGCTAAAATCTTTTCTGTCTCATCTGAGCTCTCCGTATCTGAGGGAGAGAGGAGGCAATAGTGTCTATTGAGCCTGTTTTATTATGCCAGTTTTCATCTACATGACCTTGATGAAGTCTGCTGGCTGCCCTAGGAGGTAGTGATTTTCATTCCTGATTCTGTAGATTTAAATATTAGAGACCTAGTTAATTTAAACTGAGGAAGATCGACTCAAGTGGGATTTGAGCTCTCCGACTTTATTTTTAATTTTTTTTTTTTTTAATTTGAAACTGTGGTTTACTTGTCCTAGATTGACACATATTTTTGGAAGCAGTGTGGTTTATTGGGAAACAGCCTGGGGCCAAGAATGAAAACAGGAATATGGGTTCTGGTCTCAGTCCTGTTAGTCACTAGCTTCGTAACAGCTAGTTCATTCTTTAACTTCTGCATCACAGTCTCTTTAACTGTAAGATGAGAATAGATATCTGTTCTACCTCTCAGGATGACTAGGAGAGAGGATTGAGTATTTTGAAGACCTTTACCGTGTTGAATTGCTGATAGGTATAAGAGAGATGTCTGCTGTGCGCTGTACTTTCAGCGTGAGCAACGACTGCTCACACTTTTTACCTCCATCTCCGACACAGGGCAGCTGCCAATGCTGACTTCCTGCTTCCCATCCTCCCTAGGACTTTGCTCCATGCACTTACGTTACGCACTCTGACCCTATTCCCTCCCTAACTGAAAACTCAGAATCAGCACAAGTACACACATATTTATTAAAAGTATAAAAAAAAAATGTACAGGGTGATAAACATCAAATTTTAGATGTTAGTTACTTTTGAAGAGGGGGTGAAGAGAACGGGGTCAGGGTCGGACAGATATACAGGATGCTTCCAGTGTTATCTATAATATTTTTTTTCTTTTTTAAAATAGGATTGATTTTTTTTTTTTCTTTTTAAAATTTGACCAGAGTGAGAAAGAGGGAGGGAAAGTGAGAAAGCAAGCTACCAGGTCCAGGACTCAAACCATGGTTGGCCATGTGTGAGTCCAGCACCTTAACCACCATGCCACTTGCCAGCCCCTATAATATTCCTTAGCAAACAACAATCTGAGTTGCTGACCTTGTGGCCTAGTGGTTAAAGGAGCAGGATCCCACATGGCTGACCACACAGTTCAAATCTTGGCCACAACGGCTAAAGAAACACGCCAAGTGTGTGTATGCACATACCCAAAATCCCAACAGGACAGAGAAATAGGACAGAACTGCGGCATGGCCACACCCCATAGGGGGTGCTTTCTCCCGCTCCATCTCTGTCTAGTGAGTGCATTTGCCTTCTGGAAAGGAAAAAAAAAAAACGTATCTGAAACAAACATGTTAAAATGTTAAGATTTGGTGGAGCTGAGTCCTGGTTATATTGGTTTTATTATAGTATATAACTATATAACTATATAACTATATATATATAAACTTTCATATATTTCAAGTATTTTATTTTTTAAAATCTCATGGTTAAACAAAAGATATCAACAGGCGGGACCAGCAGTTGGCGTAATGGCTATGTTGCTGGACTCCCCCATCATCGACCACGGTTTGAGTCCAGGAACCAGTGGCTTAAATTCACGCAGGGCGCGTGTGCGTGCGTGCCCAAGATCCCGAGAGGAAATTAGAGGAGAAGGGATTGCAGTGTGGCCATCCCCCCCTGGGGGGTGATTTCTCACTTTCTGTCTCTTTGACGAGCACATGCACCCTATAGCAAAAACCTCTCCAAAAAAAATAAGATATCAACAGGCCACATGGTGAATCATCCAATAGCCTTTCCACCCCACTGTCAAAGCTAGGATACAAGTTCTTTTCCCATGAGGTTGTCACCTTGTCCTCCATGTGACCACTTTTCAGGGCAAACACACAAAATAACCAACCAACTCTTACTATAGGAATGTTTAAAGCTTCAGAGTCATTTTTGCTCCTTATTCCCATTCAGACTATCCACTTGTGGTATCCATAGATAAACACTGACCAGCATGTGGCCAGACACCTGCTAAGTGAGAGCAAAGCGCAGAGTCAGCTAAGTTGGATAAGTAGAATACGTGTGATTGACCCCAAATTGTCTACACTGCCTCTTCACCCTGCTTTGCTCTAGCTGGGTTTGCCACTTTGTAACGACTTGGAGATCCATGCTGGCTACTTGGACCATTCTCCTTTCAGTTTAGTAGTTGAAACCTTCAGTTTTGCCCTAAGCAACAATAAATTGATATGATCAAATGGTCAGGTCTTTCTCAAAAACATGTGTCCTTTTATATAGGGAATGTGTGCTGGCTGGAGACAAAAAGAGAGTGAAAATCACCCCCCGGGGGAACTACCACACTGTTGTTTTCTCCTTTTTCCTTTTGAGATTTTGGGCATGCATGCACATGCATCCAGTATGATTTTCAAGCTGCCAAGTCTTGAACCACGCAGTCGGCTGTGGGGGATCCAGCTGCTTTAACTCCCAAGCCACCTGATGGCCATTAGTGTCCTTCTTCAGTGGCAGTTAACCTCCTGGGCTCTTATCTGTGTGTACCAAGTCTGACCGATACTTTGATATCCGTTCCATCCTGAACATGGAGTAACTTCTGTTGCCTTGCTGTCTGCTCCCTGTAGGCTCTACCACATCACACTCTGGACCTTCCTCCTCGCCCTGGGGCACTTCCTCTCTGAGCTGTTTGTTTATGGAACCGCAGCTCCCACCGTTGGTGTCCTGGCACCCCTGATGGTAGCAAGTAAGCCTCCAACTCCCCACCCCTCTGCAGTAATGGGCCCAGCACTGGGGCAGGGACACAGAGTAACACACAAGAGACAGATGGAACTTGCTGTTTCATCAGCCACTAATCTCTTCTCTGTCTTTAAGGTTTCTCCATCCTGGCTATGCTAGTTGGGCTCCGATACCTAGAAGCAGAACCGGTATCCAGACAGAAGAAGAGAAACTGAGGCCAGCAGTACCACGCCCACGATGTCATCCTCTGCCATCTTTGCAGTCTTCATTCATTCTCTTTGCTCTTTCTTTTCTGCTCCTTATCAGCCCTTTTATCCACTTTTAGCTTCTTACTTTTTTTACATTTTTAACATTCTAAGATTCAACATAAATGCAGAAAAGTGTATAACACGTACGTACGTACAACTCAAAGAATCATTTAAAAGTGAATCTCTGTAACTCCATCCTAGCCAAGACATTGCCAGCACCTTGGAAGCCTACTGTGTGCCTCCTTGCAACCCCCACAAGCTTTCTAGGCTCCCTTTTCCATTGTCTGCATTTGTGTCCTTTCCTTCTCATTCCTTGATTCTACTTGTGTGGCAGGATCATGCGAACTGTACAACTTCAGGCTGCTGCCCGCCCAGAGCACCTGTGACCAAGGGCTGCCTCCAGGGCTGTCCATGGAGCTTGGGCCCCTCCCTGCTGCTGGACCCGAGACTGAACCATCCACGGGACAGGCAGTTCTTCTAAGAAGGGCTCCCCTGTGTACAAGCAGGATCCTAGCTTTCCTCGTATCTACAGGTGGATGAGGGTTGGACGAGCCTGGGCTGTTTTTAGACCTTCCGGTCAACTATAATTGTGTAACAAATTTTGTAATAAATAGAAAAATTCTTGTTCTGATCAGTCATTGTATTTTGACTTCCCCCAAGACAAGAGAACCCTGCCCTGCCTTGGCGAGCCCAAGAACAGGAGCGTCAGGCTTTCTGCCTGGTGGGGTACACCACAGAGAGTAGCACAGCTGCAGACCCGGCAGCCCTGCCTGCCTCCAGCTCCTGATTGTCACTTGCTCACTTCTCTGGTATCTATGATATCAAACCTTCCTCCCCTCTCCCACTCTTAAGATTTTTAAGTTCACAACTAAACAATCAAGACCCTTTTTTGTTTTCTTCCTAACGAAGGAACAGATCCTTGAGAAAACAGACCTTAGCAGCAGAGAAAAAACAGCCGAATGACCTCAAAAGAGAGACAACTAAAGCATGAAGAAAAAGTCTGGAGTGGATAGTTGTCCTCTGAACTATACCCTGCGAGCCTCACGGGCTGGGCCCTCACACACAGCGTGTGTACTTGAAAGGCCATGCATTATTTCAACAAATATTGAGTGTTTCTCCATGCCAGACAATAGCAAAAGAGAAATGAACAACTTGGGCAGTGCCCCGGCTCCTGCACCTGTGTTTGGTACAGTGTAGTAGTAGTCAAGGTAGCAGAATCAACAAGTCGACCCATTAGAGGACTTAAGATAGTGATAAGAACTCTACAGAAAGGTGTTTTGATCAAGAAGGGGAGGTTGAGAGGAGTGGGGGAGGTCATGATTTATATCACCAGGCCTTCCCGAGGAGGTAGGATTTAAGAAGCAGGCATTAGGGCAGAGGGTGAAGCAACCGGAAAGCAGGAAATCTTGTTCAAAGAGCAAGGTCATGGGAACTACGTATGGTGCAGAATTAGGAACTGAAAGGTTGGAGATAAGGTCAAAAAGGGAGGCAAGAGGCTTGTCCCATGGTGTAGTGGTTAAGAGATGGATCCCACCTGGCCAATCTCACACCCAGCAGCTTGAAGAACACACCAGGTGCATGTGTTTATGTGGCCAAAATATAGGCAAGATGCAGAGACGGAGGAGAAGGGATTACCGTGTGCCCATGCCCCATTGGAGGTTGCTTCCTCCCACTCTTCCCTCTGGTAAGCACACCTGCCCTCTGGCAAAAAAAAAAAAAAAAAAAAAAGGCAGAAGGCTTATAATGGCATGGTAGGAGGTTTGACATTTATACTTAAATACATTGAGAATCCTCTTATCAGTTAAGGCTCTTTAGGTGAAAGGGACAAAATCTAACTTAAAGATAACATTGGCTCCCATGACTGAAAAGCTGAAAAGTTATGATGACTGTAGGCTTTAACAATGATTTGACTGGGATAAGAGGTAGCATGGAGGGTAAGGTGGCTAAATCCCATGTGGCCTACTGTGTGGTTCGAGTCCTGGACCCAGTGGTTTGAAAATCACGCTAGGTGCATGTGCCTGTGTGCCCAGAATCCCGAGAGGAGAATAGAGAAGGAAATGCAGTGTGGCCACCACCACCCCACAGGGGCTGATTTCTCACTTTCTCCTCTGTGTCCCAGTTGAGCCTCACACACCCTATAGCAAAACTAAAAATAAATAAATACATAAATAAATAAATAAATAGTTTGATCAAGACTTCAGCTCCATTTCTCTTGTGATTTTTTTCACTGTGTTGACATCGGGGTGGCTTCTTTCATTGTGCCAAAGATGGTTAAGGAAATCCCAGGCCTCATAGCCCCCCTTCTCCCCACAGAACACTGCATCTAGAAAAATAGCTTGGTGGTAAGAACTCTCTTCCCTGCCTCACCAACTATTGTAAGGATGCAGTAAGAAGAAGTCTGATCTTACAGAGAGCTAACATTTGAGGGGAAAGCCACATGGAGACCACTTACACAGGAGTGAATGAAAACGTAAAATGATTTGAGTCCTCTAAACACTTGTCATGAGAACATGATTCCAGTTAAATACAAGACAAGATCCCAAAGCATCTAGAGAAGTACACCGAATATTCAGCAGAGAGTACAAACCAGATTTCTTTTTATTATTTATTTAAATTTAAAAACTTTTTTGCCAGAAGGTGTATGTGTTCACCAGACAGACAGAAAGCAAGAAAGCATCCTTCATGGGGCATGGTCATGCTGCAATCTCTTCTCCATTTCTTTCTCCTCTTGGGATTTTAGGCATCCACACATGCACGCCAGCGTGTTTCTTATGCTTCCAGTCTGGGATTCAAACCACACAGCTATGTGGGATCCAACCACCTTAACCAGCAGATTTCTTATCAGCCCAAAAAAACAACATCCCAAAGCATCTAAAGAGATACATGGTGAGAGTATTTAACAGACAGCGCATACCAGGTTTCTTACCAGCCCATGCTTGGGTTCTTTCCCAGATGATCTAAAATAGAAATACAATATTGTCTCTCCCCAGCTAAGAATTGCCAATATGGCACCAGATGCCAAAGGCACAGTGCTACTCCAGGGATGAAACACACAGGAAACTGACGGCAACAGCACGTCCACGTAACAGAAGGCGACACGATGGATGAGGAAGAAGTAGCAGTAAAGACTGTTCAGAAGAAACATGATAACACAACTGCAGAGGCCGGGACTGAGCTACGGCTTTTGGCCAGACCAAGTTGGTGTGTGGCTGGGGTGATTCTAGAACAAATACTCCAGCTACCCTTTGAGGCAGAGCCAGAAACAACAGTGGGCTCTCTCATCAGCAGTCCCATTACAGAATGTACACAGTAAGGAAAGAGGTCAGGGTCACATGTTGAACATTGAGTTCCCCATGTAGGCAGACAGTAACCTTTACAGCCTCATTTCTAAGGCCAGTAGGTGGCATAGTGGTTGAGATGGCAGGCTCCCAAGTGGCTGACTACACAGTTCAAGTCTTAGACCCCAAATCCCGGGAAAATGAAGAAGAATTGCAGGTGGTCATCCCACCCGGGATGAAAGAAAGTATTTCCTCATTTTCTCCCTCTGGCAAGTACGTGAGCAAGTTAAAAAACTACCAGGATGGCAACATCTCTGTCAATAGAAAAAAACAGATGCTCCTATGAAGGCCAGAGTCACTGCTCCTCTAGCCTTGATCCTTCCCCCACACCTAAGATACAGTCCTCAGAAATGCCTGATAGTGCCAGCCCATAGCCTTGTGGTTAAGGGAGCCAGAGCCCACATGGCTGACCACCATCCAACTCTGGGCTCCTGTGGCTTAAGAAATTACTCAGGCTCGGCCATACAGGGGGAAAAAAAAAAATTAGTCAGGCATACATGTGCGTGTATGCCCACAATCCCAACCGGATGAAGAAGGTATTATGGTGTGACCACACCCCATTGAGGGGTGCTTTATCCCTCCTCTCTGTCTCTCAGTTTCCCTGGTGAGCACACACACCCTCTGACAATTAAAAAAAAAAAAAAGAAATGTGCGGTAATCTGTGGATACGACCATAAGGCATCCCCACCTCGCCAAATGATAAGGCAGACCACTTTGAGAATCTTTTATTGCCTTCAACCATCTGTTGTTACAAATAGAAACACAAATTACGATTTTAAAATAAAGCAGTGTGTTCAGTGCACATGTGTTAATACATCTGGAGAGGCTGTAAACACCTTTCTCTGTATCAGAAAGGAAGGCAACCTTCTCTTTCTCTCTCTTCCACCCGAAATCACTTCCTCCACCAACACCATGAACTTAATTATTATATACACAGCATGTTCCTCCCATCCATGGTTCGAATCTTGGCATACATGCGTACATACACACACACGCAGCTCCCATCAGGGGCCGTGTGCCAGTCACCCCAACACTGCAGCCAGTACAGGCCATTCTAGCACATGGATACCAGGGGGTGGCCAGAGCAAGACAGCACAGGGGTCTGACTGTGGCTGCTCAGTGCACAAGGCCAGTTACTCAAATTTCTCTTATTTTCAGGATACACTATTAAAACCTAGAGGAGAGCCAGACAGTAGGCTGGGGAAAAAAGGTCAGCTTGAGGTGGTTGAAAGGGAATCTTCCATTTGAATAAAATTACTATTACTAGAAGGGCATGGAGAAAGGGTCTGAGTGTGCAAATACTGTCCCCTTCAATGGCAGGATATGCCTAACTCAAGGATGCCTTTCCTCCTACCCCTTTCCTCTCATCTCAGAAGCAGCTTTGGACTTGTCAGAGTGGAGTGAATGGAGATTACTTTTCAGTAAAGGTTAGAGTCAGTTGTCTGGGCTTGCCCTCTCTCGGGGTAAAACAGGCACTTAGGTCCATGGCTGACTCTCCCAGTGGGGCGTCCAGACAAAGACAGCAGAGGTGACCATGGCACACAACAGTTTCTGGGCAAGAATTTGGTAGGATAAAACCTTCCCATTCCAACTCAAGGTACCAGAGTCCCCAATCACAGACCCCCATAAGCCCACTGAGGAGGTAGCGCCCCCCCCCCGTACCATCACAACCGAGTGGTTAACCCTCCCAGACCGATTTGTCCTTCATGGTCACAGCCAAGGTTTCTCAAGTTTATTGATGTTTGGTTCGATCAGCTTTTAAGAAAGAGGGTTAGGCCAGAGGAATGTAGGCCCAGGAGTCCTGATGACATGGTTCTAATAAAGCCGTTCCGACGGAGTCTTCTTTCTGATGGTGCTCCCTGTCCCACAGACCTTGAGCAGCCAGGCAGTCTGGTGACCAGGAGTGACCTCAGGCCCAGTAGCTTGCTGCTGCTTAGGACTGAGCTTCACATGAGTTTCAAAACACTAGAAAAAAATCCTATCCCGATAAGCTTTCTTCCCATGATAATCTTGCAAGCATTCTCCATGAAGGATAAAGGTAAAGAGGGAGAGCAAGGATCAACGTGGGATTAACTCCAAGAGCCTTCACCAGCCTCTCCTAGCACCAGGTCCCATAATCTAAAAGGGGAGGGGGCAGAAATCAAATCTGCATTTGGTGAAGGTGAGCTTTCTCCCAACTAAACCGCCCAAGCTCTCTAGTGGGTTCCAGGAGGCACAGGCACCAACGTCTAAGTCACAGATATTCTAGCCAGTTCCCTGGCCAAAGCTTCTCCAGCAAAGACCTCTGTGCTGAGATGAGAGCTAGGCTGAAGGAAGAGGCGAGAAGTCCTCCAGGTTTCCCGAGTAACCGCCATGTTTTTCTCTCAGAGGTGATCCTCAGACACAGCAGTGGGCACTTTGCTTGTATTGCTCTCCTCCTCCTGGAGTTTCTACAAGGCAAAACAAAAAGGCAGCCTCATGGATAAAAGGCATAGGACTCTCCCCCTGGCAGAGGGACTACCTGTCCCTAGTGGGGAGTATAATACCCAGAGGCCACTCAGTATCCCAAGAGCAAACAGAAGGAACAAGAAAGGAAAGTGGCCTGGGAAGTATCCCATGGGGCCCCTGGATACACACTGCCAACTTGGGCATTCGCCTACTGTTTTGAGAAATGCTTTCCCTGGGGACCAGCAGTTAGTGTAATGGCTATGTCTCTGGACTCCCACGTAGTCGACTGCGGTTTGCGTCCTGGACCCGGTGGCTTAAAACTCACGCTGGGTGCATGTGCATGCGTGCCCAAGATCCCGAGAGGAGAATGGAGGAGAAGGGATTGCGGCGTGGCCATCCCCCCTGGGGGGGGGGTGATTTCTCGCTTTCTGTCTCTCTCTCTGTCTCTGTCTGTCTGGGGAGCACACATGCCCTATAGCAAAAGCCTCTCCAAAAAAAAATAATAATGATAAGAAATGCTTTCCCTGAAAAACCTCCAGGGTTTTTCTGATTAACAAGAAGCCCTCAGGCACAGACATAGGACTGCACAGCCAATACTGCCCAAGGCCTGCAGGAGCACATGCAGGGCCAAGCTCGAGTCCCGTGTCAATTAGACAAATGGTGCTTTCTTCTGCAGGAAGTGTCTCAGGGCTAGGCCATGGCAGTGTCTCATAGCAATAGCAACACCTAAAAAAAAAAAAAAAAAAAGCAATATTTATAGAAATTCTGTCTTTCCATTTTTAAAATTTTTTTGAAGAGGTTTTTGTTATAGGGCACGTGCGCTTGCCAGAAAGAGAGAGACAGAGAGCTAGAAAGCGAGAAGTCACCCCCCCAGGGGGGATGGCCATGCTGCAATCCCTTCTCCTCCATTCTCCTCAGGATCTTGGGCACGCACGCATATGCACCCAGCGTGAGTTTAATCCACCAGGTCCGGGACTCGGACCGCAGTCAAATACATGGGAGTCCAGCGACATAGCCATTACGCTAACTCCTGGTCCCTGTCTTTCCATTCTTAACCGTGCTAACCTTTTGGCCCCAGGTCAACCTTGGCTATAAGGAGCCTTGATTCAGATGACTAAGGGTGTACTTAAGTCAGTCTCTCTCTGACATACACCCACGCCTGCCCCCTCCAGGTTAGTAGGAATAGAAGCAAAGCTACTATCTATGTGCTAGAAGGAAAATGGAAACCCAAACCCACATTTTCATAGTTAAGGCCACTTTACTCCTGAACCAGAAGTTCTATTTCTTTTTACCTGAACTGTAGAATACCTAGGACCAGCAGATGGCATAATGGTTATGTCGCTGGACTCCTGCATAGTCGACCGCAGATCAAGTCCCAGACTCGGTGGCTTAAAACTCATGCCAGGCACGTATGCCAAAAAAATCCCAAGAGGAGAATGGAGAAGGGATTGGCCATCCCCCCCTGGGGGAGGGGGGTTTTCTCAATTTCCATCTCTCTGTCTCTCTCTGGTGAGTGTACATGCCCTATAGCAAAAATCTCTCCTAAAAAAAAAAAAAAAGAAAAGAAAAAGGAAAGAAAAAGAAAAGAAAGAGGACATCTGGCTTCATCACACCCTGACAATGAATTTGTCTGCATGATGAATTACACTGCAAGTTACACTGACTACCACAGGGTATATGGTGATGGGGCTCCAGAGGAGGGCTGCTCTCTGACAGGCTGCTCTTCCTGGGTTCATGTTGGTGTCAGCCCCAGGATGACTCTGACCTTCCCATAATACCAAGCTACCAAGGATGCCAGTGAGATGCATGGTGAGTTACCCAGGTCCATGCGAGAGCTGAGCACCAATACCAGAACTTAAAGCTCCTACTCCTACTCAGTGCCATTTACTCCACACATTAGGAGTCCGTACTCCCCTACTCCAACAACTCCAGCCTCGATTAACAAGCCTGGCCCAGGTGCACCAAGATCTGACTGCAAGAATAGTGAAATATTGGAACAGCTGGAATGTTATTAAAGGTATTAAGTGAGCTGAAAATATAGGTATACATGTATATACAGGCATGTGGTAGGTTGTAAGGATGTGGAACAATCGTCAGGCTATTAGGGAAATCTGCAGAGTGGACTACTTAATACACATAAGCGTAGCCACAGGATACAAACACTGGGAAATGAGCTAAAATGCACCTAGGTTATCTCTGGGAGGTAATTATAGGTGATGTTTATTTTCTCCTTGTTTGCCTGTATCTGCCAACACAAGCATAAATTGTAAAGTAAACACAATAAAATCTCTTATCACTGATTCGATTCATCAAATTCCAAATAGAAACCTTTACTCCAGAAATCTACCTTGTTTTATTATAGGCACCTTTTCCCAGGCCCACTATATTTCTATATCTTTTTTTTGCTATAGGATATGTGCACTCTCTGGAGAGACAGAGACAAACAGAAAGCAAGAAATCACTGTCCAGGGGAGGATGGCCACACCGCAATCCCTTCTCCATTCTCCTCTTGGGATCTTGGGCACGGACACACATGCGCCCAGTGTGAGGTTTAAACCACCAGGTCTGGGACTTGAACCACGGTTGACTATGTGGGAATCCAGCAACGTAACCATTACACAATCTGCTGGTCCCTATATATATTTTTTTTCACCAAAGGGTGCCAAACCATTATGTCTCTTTGTACCCAGCACAGCCCGTGGCTCATACAGGACTGGAGCACATCACTCCTGCTTTAAGGCCTTTTTTTGTCTTCCCAGTGAGTTTCCTCTGCTAGGCTCCCCCATTCACACACTACCTGCTGCTGTCTGCCAACTCTAGAATGTGATAGCAAAAGACAAATAGTAACAAATGAAAGTATATCATCTATCTGCCAACACATATCCTAAAAAACTAAAAATATCTTTTGCTTAGAAATAAAAATATCTCTAAGGCAAACCATTTCTGCCTTAAAGAACTGGCAAAGATTTTTCAAAGTGATAAAAACTCTCAGTGTTGGCACCCTTCAACCCTGCTACTGCATTGTAGAATTGTAGTATTGATACACCTTTCTAAGAACACCTTAGCAACACATGTCAAAGTCCTAAAATTGTGCATGACCTGGGCCAGCAGGTGGCATGGAGGTTAAGGTGTTGGATCCCACATGGCTGGCAGTGTGGTTCAAGTCCTGGATCCAGCAGCTTGAAAATCACTCCAGGCACATGTGTGCATATGCCCAAAATCCTGAGAAGAGAATGGAAAAGAAGGGATTGTGGCACGGCCACCCCCTAGGGGGTAATTGTTCACTTTCCTTCTCTCTCTGTCTCTCTCTCCAGTGAGTACACACACCCTATGGCAAAAAAAATCTTAAAAAAAAAAAAAAAAAAAAGCGTAAGACCACTGATCCAGTTTTCAAAGAAATACTGTCCTTAAGAACATGCACAGAGGAGCCAGCAGTTAACGTAATGGTTATGTCGCTGGACTCCCATGTAGTTGACTGCGGTTCAAGTCCTGGACCCAGTGGCTTAAATTCACACCAGGCGCGTGTGCGTGCATGCCCAAGATCCTGAGAGGAGAATGGAGGAGAAGGGATTGCAGCGTGGCCATTCCCCCTGGGGGGTGATTTCTCACTTCCTGTCTCTATGTCTCTCTCTGTCTCTCTGGCGAGCACACACGCCCTGTAGCAAAAACCTCTCCAAAAAAGAAGAAAAAAAGAAAAAGAAAATGGGAACATGCACAGAGATTCTGCTTCTGAGATATTAATCACAGTGTGAGTATTGTTTATAACAATAATTGGAGGGAACCAGCAGTTAGCGTAATGGCTATGTCACTGGACTCCCACATAGTCGACCGCGGTTTGCGTCCCAGACCCGGTGGCTTAAAACTCATGTTGGGTGCGTGTGTGTGTGCATGCGTGCCCAAGATCCCGAGAGGAGAATGGAGGAGAAGGGATTGCGGCGTGACCATCTCCCCTGGGGGGTGATTTCTCACTTCCTGTCTCTATGTCTCTCTCTGTCTCTCTGGCGAGCACACACGCCCTGTAGCAAAAACCTCTCCAAAAAAAAAAAAAACCAAAAAACCAACAATTGGAAAAAACCTTAATGTCCCAGACAGGGAAATTGTTAACGAAATCATTGTTTATCCATATAATGGAACACTGTAGTCATTGAAAGTATGTTGTAAAAAGCTAGTAGCCTCATAGTGTTTTCAATAAGTCAAAGAGCAGATAGGATTCTATTGCTTTTGGTTTGTTTTTGTTTTTGTTTTTTTGAGAGGTTTTTGCTATACGGTGCATACGCTCGCCAGAAAGACAGAGAGAGACATAGATAGAAAGCGAGAAATCACCCCGAGGGGGATGGCCATGCCGCAATCCCTTCTCCTCCATTCTCCTTTCAAGATCTTAGGCACGCATGCACACACGTCCGGCGTGAGTTTAAGCCACCAGGTCTGGGACTAGAACCACAGTCAACTACATGGGAGTTCAGTGACATAGCCATTACGCTAACTGCTGGTCCTTATTTTTGTTTTTATATACACACACACACACACACGCACACACATATACAAACATATTAAATTGTCAGAAAAGTCACAACATACTTTTTCTATGTAAAAATACATCATGACTTTTCCGATGACCCAATATATATGTGAATATAGATATATAAATATAAATGTAAAAAACGAGATGTCAGGCCGGTGGGTGGTATGCTGATTAAGGCACTGAATCCCACATGGCCAACTCTGTGGTTCTAATCCCAGACCTAGTGGCTTGGAAGACACTTGCCAGAAACTTGTGCACACATGTATGTGCATGGTCAAAATTCCAAGAGGAAAATAGAGAAAGGATTATGACATGGGCATACCCCTGGGAACTGCTTTCTCACTCTCTCTCTCTCTCTCTCTGCAAGCCCTACAGCAAAAAAAACTAAAACACAACAAAACAGGATTTTTGTCTCTATATGATAGAATTAAAGATGCTCTTTAAATTTTGTACACTTTTATACATTTCTTTAGTTTTTCTACAAATAACACTAACTTGTAGTAACTTTGCTATCTTTTTTTAAAAAGAAATATCTTACTTTTATTCTTTCTCAAATTTGAACTTCCTTTCATTATCACTCAGACTTGACGTCTAACATTTTTGGTTAAGGTGGTTTTCAGCTGATCAGAGCAGGTGAGAAACATTTTTCTGCTCTGTGTCATACTCCTGGTCATCTCCCCTCCTACCACCGTCAGCTCTTACTTTCTGACTTGTCTTTTCAGAGCTCCTCTGGCAACCTGCTGGTTCCATCCCCAGGGCCCTGCCTCCAGGGCTGCCACATCCCAGGAGAATCATTGCACTAGGCCACCACTGTCATGACAGAGTGGCCAAGCCAGGCTCCCACTTTCCCTCCTCAGTCCCTGAGTCAGGTTGAAAGCAGTGGGGCCAGAGCTTCAGGACTTGGCTTCGGATCTAAGCAGTGGGCGCTGCTCAGCTGACGACAGTGACATGCTCTGGGGACCCGAGCAGGGAAACCAGGAGGAGGGTAGAAAGTGGGAGGAGAGCTTGAGAAAGAATAGCGGAAAGAAAAATGCCAAAACATCCACTGAGGAAACACTTCGGCTGCCATGTTTGTGAGAGGCAAGCTGGTTTCATTGCCTCCGTAAAACCAGTCCCTCAGGGAATTCTCCCTGCGTCACAGACTCATCAAAAGCCTTGGCCCCAGTTCTCAGCCCTAAACTCCCACATACTCACATTCTCAGGGGTTTCTTTGTTTGCTTTCTGCCTCCGAAGATCTGCCCTAATGAATGCTGAGGTCGAGAGATTAAGAAGGAAAAGTGACAAAGACAGAGTCATTAAACGGATCGGTGACCAAGTTCATCCACGAGAAGGAACTGTCATTTTTGTAAGGTTGCATGTATTCCTAACCAACTTCAGGCAGGCAAGGGAGTGGGGTGGCATGAGTCACCTCAGTAGCACCCAGGGATCACTGCAGTCCCTAAGAGGCAGAAGTCAATAACAACACTGGTTTTCGCTTACAGATCACTTATATTTGCCAGGGACTTAGCACGCGTTGTTCTCATCACCACCACATACTTATTTCACAGAGTAGGAAACTAAGGCTCCCAGAGGTTGGTCCACTTGCCCAAGGTAAATGATCACAGAAGTCAGTGTCACAGTCTGGATCTTCTGGCTCAAACACTCACGCTCACCCCCAAAAACATTGTTACTCCCTCCCAAACGAATTTCCTAAACAAGCCCCCACCCCATCTGTCTCCTCGCATGTATACCCCCCATGTGTTTAATCAATCAAGGCACAGGGGCCCCAACAGCCTTGCTCAAGGGCATCAAGAGCCTCGTCTTACCCTCAGACCCCAACTCACCAGTGAGGGTTGCTCCGAGGAAAAGGAACACACATAGGAAGATGTTTCCAGGCATGGTTCCATAGTTGTCAATAATCTGGCCCTGGGAGATGGTGAAGATGATCCCAAATACCTGGAGATCCATAAAGAAGACTGGAAACCAGGGCCAATAAACTAGTCCACGGGGAGAACTGAGCTGCCACAATGCAGTGCCAGCGCAGCCAGGCAGAGAACAGACAGGAAGACTCTACCTGTGCAGACACGTTGAGGAGGCCAGAGGAGATGCCTTCTGATTCTGGGTACGTGAGCTCCACCGCAAACTCGAATCCCAGGGGAAGATAGCCAGTCATAAAGAAGCTGAAGTCCAATGCAGAGAAACAAGGTGACAAAGAACCTCCAGAATAAGAAGGATGCAGAGCCCGCCTCCTCCCTTAGAACTCTCTTCCCTGTTTCATTTCTTCCCATCAAGGCATGCCAGGCCCTTACAGATCCAGGCATCCCCTAAGTGGACGTACCAGGCAAAGGAGACCGTTAACAGGCCGGGAAGAAAATCTGTAGGCCTTGCGTTCAGCAGGCCTCTAGGGCCCCCTACTGCTTCTCCATCCAGCTATTAATAACAGAGTCAGCATTGACAGAAGCAAGGACACCCAAGGAGTTTCACTTTCAGCTGAGAGTCTGTGCCGTGAGTGCACAGGACCTATGCTGGGAGTGGGAGATGCCTGGATACTAAGCAGCATCTCCATGGCTCTCGAGGTCCTGGAGCTCAGAGTCCTTGTTCCCCTCAGGGAGGAGGAGATGAGGACTGAGTGCCAGAGGTGTATTGTTTGTCTCTCTCCCTCACACACATACGCAAATGCTCTCACATACTGTCCACAGGAAAATAAGTGGGAGGTAGAACTGAGCAGAGAATCCTACAAAAAGGGTCTTTCTTTCTTATATTTTTATCATACAACAGATCTAGAAAATTCCAATTCTACTCTTGTGCATCTGCACCACCCTTCTTACTGCTTTCATATCTGGTGTCTCTCTCTCTCAGTCCTAACAGCTCTGCAAGGTGAACCACTCTTAACTTCACGTAAATATGATGCAACTGAGCTCAGAGAGGCTAAGCGATTTACCTGCAGTCTAACAGCAATTGAATTGAGACAGTGTTCCAGAGTTTCTGATCCCGACTCCTGTACTTTCTACAATATGACTCCATGTTCAGAATAAGATTCTAACCATTCCCTAGCCTCCCAGAAGCCCATCAAGGGTATACTCCATTCTTTGTTCCATCCAGACAGCATAGACAAGCCAAGGCTGCCCTTTGAAGTACTACAATGTAACCAAGACCTCTGGGTGCTATTTCCATATCTCCTAAGGTCAGTGAGAGGAAAGCAAAAGGGATCAATAATCATTCTAGGATGTTGGCAGCTCCAGGAGCCATAGGATGGTATTTTCCAATGAAACAGGTCAGAGATGAATGAAACTTACCCCATTGTGCCAGCAGTGATGAACACTACCCATAGGTGTCCCAAGTTCAAGGTCAATGTGTATACCACCATGCCCACCAGAGTCATGATATAGACCACCAGGGTCGTCTCCCTAGAAGCAGAGGCAAAGAAGTTGAGTTATACACCTCTGACTTTAATCGGGTCATTGGTTCATTCGTTCATTCCACGGGTGTCTTTCAGGCACCTGCTGAATGTGGAACGCTCCGCTGTGTGCTGGGACATCTACTCTCTTAGTTCTTTCTGTCCACCAGGAAGATGGACTAAACCAATGATCACACAACAGTAATTACTTCATGATAAATGGTAAGACTATATGAAGCTGTCATGCTTCTTCTGTTCTTTTATGTATGTAGGTTCCCTTCCTATGAAACCTTCTGGATAATATCAATCTAATTCCTACATTTATTGGGTGTTGAATTCTGTAAAGCACTTTATATGCATGTATTATTTTGACTCAGCCCTTATAAATTATCTTACAAGTTACCAATAAGGAAACGGAGGCTCAGATTAGTTAAATCCGCCTGACTAAAGTCACCAGCTGAATAAATACAAAGATGAGATTTGAACCCAGAGCTGTAATATGAAACCTGCTACTCCACACAGGAATAGCAATATTCTGTGGCAGCATCTTTGGAAAAGCCCAAGAGGATGCTGCTCCCAGCTGGTGCTTCCAAGCAGCTGCTGAGGGGAGAGGAGCTTCTTCCTTTACCCTTCTCCCCTCTTCTACTCAGCCCCTCTGCAGAAAGTCACTTCATGAACACCGGTCTTTCTCAGCGAGCCCACATGTTCACCAGATACTGATCTTTTTTTTTTTTTTTAACTTTTGCCATGCTTGTTTAACCATAGCATCATCTTAAACCACTGACCAATTTAGCAAAGCTATTTATAGTCCCAGCCTGGAATAAACAGTCCTCACTAATTTCCAGCCTCCAAACCAAACTGGATGGATCTGCAGGTCTAACTACAGAATCCTGGGTGACAATGGGAACAGCAGTGTGAGGAGAGTCTTAGAAGAGAGCTGGCACCAAAACGACAGGCTCACGGAGCTCTCTCAGGCCAACGAAGAGCTGTCCTTCCCCTGCCTTGGTAGTAAGTAGCACAGGAAGAATGGCTCATTGCTGACTGCTGGATTTAGACATCAAGTCATAATAGGAACTGGTGACATCTAGGTTCTGATGAGGGCTGAGGAAGTGTCCGCCCCAGTCCTTTCATTATATTTTCTAATTCATCTGAATCATCTGGCTGCCCACATCACAGCCCAACCGACATTCCAACCCCTCCCTTCTCTGGCCACAGAGCAAGCCTTGGAAAAAGGGAGACCACTGTCCACTGGTTTGGGAGTGGCCAATCCTCACTGCTCTCTTGTCTGGCTGAAGCAAGTAACTAACAGATGGCAGAGACAAGACGATGGCCAAGCTCCACCAGTAGTAATCAGGCTGAGCCAGGCTCCTCATCGTGTGAAACCCGGCAGCCACATCCCTAGGGATGGCCTGAATTAGCCTTTGACTGGAGCAACCAGAGTGAGACCTGGTCTGACCAGCGCCTCACAGAAGCGGGTCTGTGTGGCAGAGAACAGGTCTGCCACTGTCTGTCGCCTCCAGACACTGGGAACGTTGGAGGCCTCGACAAAGCAGCCCGGAACACCACCCTGGCCCAGTGTAGGACAACTCTGGCAGCTGCCCCACCAGCCCATGCATGAGGAGCACTGGAAAGTCACAACGGATAGGAAGGATGTGGGCCTCTGTTCTAAGCATTTTCTCCAATGCCTGCTACTGAACTGAGGCACCCAGATTGCCTTTTACAGATGCAGATTCCTCTACTGAATTGCATCCATCAGGTGGGGCTCAAGAATATGTCGTTTTAATAAGTATCCTGGAATAGCCTGGCTTACACTAAAACCTTTCAAGACAACTCTGGGGGCCAGCCAAGTAGCAGGATGGTTAAGGCAGCTGGATCCCACGTGGCCAACTGCACAGTTTGAGTGTTGGACCCAATGGCTTGAAAACTATCTGGGTGCATGTGTGTGTATGCCCAAAATCCTCAGAAAAATGGAAGAAAAGGGATTACAGCATGGTCATTCCCCCTAGGGAGTACTTTCTTACTCTTTTTTTTCTTTCCCTCTCTTGCTCTCTCCCTCTCTGTGTCCAACAAGTGCACGTGCCCTGTAGCAAAAAATTTGTTAAAAGAAAGAAGTGCATTGGCCATTCAGTTCCAAAGCACATCACGGTGTTTCCCAACAAGGTATGAACAATCAAGGTATACACACTGCAAACTGGAGTAAGCACAGGACACTGTGTGAGTCCCATAGGGTCCACAAGGAGCCATAGGAATAGGGCAGTGAAAGAACCTCCTCGGGGCTAGCTGGTGGTGTGGTGGTTAAGTGTACTAGACTCCCACATGGCCAACCGTGATTCAGGTCCCAGATCTGGTGGCTTGCTTTCTCACTTTCTCTCTCTCTGTGTCCCTCTTTGGGGTTTCTACCAAATTTCCAAACACTAAGAGTTTTGCACATTTGTTTTTTGTTTCCTTCTCATCTACCCCTTTCACGAAGCTGTCTGGAGGATGGGGATGTAGAAGAGGACTGTGGTCAGCCTTCCCGTCCACTATCTCTAATCTTTCTAAGGGTGGGTGTAGCTTCCCTCACTTTATAAATGAGGAATCTGGGACCCAGAGAAGATAAATTTGAACAACCCTCATGACCACTTAGAATCCTCAGCTGTCACACCCAAACCTTTTGAGACCATATTACTAGTGACTATGTCATTTCAAAGAATGAGTCTCCAGTTCTCAGTCATAGAAGAAAAGTCGCTTACTTGTAGGTTTTGGATCTATCCAGCCAGATGCCAGAGATCACAGCCCCGAGC